AGGCTTGACAAAGCCCTGGCTGGGATGATTTAGTTGGGAATTGGTCCTGCTTTGAGCAGGGGGTTGGACTAGATAACCTCCTGAGGTCCCTTCCAACCCTGATATTCTATGATTCTATGACTACAAAAACCTTTCATCTGAAGATCTGAAATCGCTTTACAAACATTAAGTACAAGAAAAAAGTGGAACTACAACATGTCAAACCTTATTGCTCAATCACTGAGTTTTTATGGCATCTCTTCACCACATACTGGTACTTCATTGTTTATGTGATCTGTAGATCTCCTGGAACTTGGAAGCAGGGAGATTGTCTACATACCAGTCTAAAGCACAAAGCACATTTGGGGCTTTATATAATGTGTAATTCTCTATCTATTGACATGGTTACAGGGCTGGCTGCACCTCTACCTCTCCCCGCTTCTGGTCTCTGAGTGCACCAGGTCTCAGGCCTGGTGCCTTTACCTGTCCCAGGCTGGAATTGTGCAATTCTCCCCACTCATAAACCAGGCCCTGGGCTACAGGACCTTGTGCATCACCTCCTTTTTATTTTACAAATCTGACTGAATTTAAGTACCCACAGTTCTTTCTTTCCTTCGGGAGTCTGTGACCAGTAATATATTGTGATCAGACAGCCTTCTTAAAACCAAAGTATTGTTTATTTTAAACAGTAGGAACAAAGCTTTTAGAGAAAAAAGGTTTTAAAAACAATCTACACTTATTTCTCTCTGACTTAAAGGCTTACCATCCGCTGACGGTAACCTTGGCAGGCCTAACTTTTTCAGAAATCCCAGAAGGTGCTATCTTAGTTTGGTTGCCCCAAAATATATCCTCTCCTCGTACCTCTCTTTTGAGAATATGTTCCTTTTTAAACCTTTTGATCTCCAGTATGTGTGGGCCTTTTCCTGCACTGGTATTATCTCATAACATCCCTCAAGTATCTGCAGAGAAGTAACTTATCTTGAGCCATTTGTTCACTCTCTGCTTGTCTTTACTTACAACTCATATTAAACTACACCAAAATATTCATAGAATAAATGGTCTAAGAACCAGGTCAACATACAATATTCATAAATTATTTCAGAGCAGTTCCAATTCCATGACACCCACATTACATAGGGATAAACTGATGCACAGAAGGGTAAAGTGAATTGCTTACAGAGTAAGTTAGTCACAGGACACAAGAGTCCCAATTCCCTAACCCCTGCTCTATCCAACAGAGCATCCTCACAACTACATTCACTCTCAAGCGACACTAGAAAAGTTCCTGTCTTTGGGCTTGACCCACCTACTTCTGACATAAGCTCTTGGGCTTAATCCAACTTCTGTTGAAGAAAATGGTAGCTGGACTGGTTTTAGGGCTACAGGATAAAACTTG